AGTCCTCAGGAACTTAACAATGAGCATGCCGCATCGACTCATAGAGCTCTCACTCAAACAGGGTGCACCAATTGATTACTGATATTCATGAAGAACACGGTTGTGTTTGTATAAATAAACTGTTATTTAAAGTGGACGTATACTATGAAACGGTCGAAATTCGAAAAAATACTTATAAAATATTCCTTTGTAAACTTGAAGATCTGAAAACCTATTTTCCATTTTATTCTAATGCAGCAATTCCTTAATGCATGCTACTAATTTGGATCACCCCTTCAAGAAAAATTTTTGTTGAGATGAGGGGTGGACGTATACTACTGAAACGCACTGTATAAGAAGTTTCAATTGACATTAACGTCCATGATTCAGATAAACAAAGTTATGAATGAGTCGTGGGATCTTGTAGTTGCCGATGAATTATTTGCTGTCACTTCTTATGCTCTCGCCATGAAGGCATACAACAGCAGTAAGCCATTCGTGACACTCAGTACATGTATCCCTACAAATCTCATCAAGTATCATTTTGCACTTGGTGAGTGCTTATCAAAATTTCACAAAGTAATATTAAGCCTTGCCTCCATCTTCTCTCTTGTTTTAAAGGCACAGTTCACGATAGAAATGGTTTCTGGGATTTTTCCATAGGATGAATTTGAGGTCTCCGCGTATATCTTAACTGGCGCTACCATGTCGGAAAACAGCGTAGTTAGGGAGGTATGAAGGCTCAAAGATTAGCTCGTGTGTTTCCTCGGACGAGTTTCATCGGCACTGTAGAGGCCGCACCGATCACAAGGGAACTATGTGAGAAGTTCAAACAACTCGTCATGACCTATAGTGACAGTGAAAGACAGTTCTTTACAATTCTGGCTTGATGTAGTCCGCTCTTTGTGCAATTGCAATAACTGAAATATCGTCCGAGTACCCCTTCCATGTTATTTCCGTCATGGCAATCTCGTCCAACCTCTATTTTCCCTACTTTTTTGGAGCCTTATTTTTCTAAAAATGGGCGAATTTGCTCGCTTTCTTCACTACCAATGAACTATTCCCAACTATTCTTCCGCTCTTCGACTAAAAAGGGGTACCTCGAAATCACCGTGAACTATGCCTTTAAACTCGGCATAGTTGTTTACACTGATAGAAATTCTTCTGCTAATCGAGGTTTCCACGTGGAACACTTTAGTAATATTAGGCCTTGCTCCATCAGCCAGGAAAAAAATCGAGAGGAAAGCAGGATTCAAAATTCGAGGGGCCGAGCATTTTCACTTCTAATGGTAAGAATCAGCTCTGCCTACTTGATGCTGCCTGGCTCCCTAGGACTCAGAGCCATTTGCTCGATAATCAGCGTTGAGTGGTAAAAAAGTATGGTAACCAACATACGTAGCTTATAACTGGTTTGTTCACCGTTCTAGGTGAAAAATCCCCTGTTCATGACACATTAAATAGATGGTTAGTTATGGCACATCGAACCAACCGATCCCTGATTTAGGAACTCCATTCTCACATCGTCCGTCAATGTACCATCGTCTAGCTATTCCCTATCGCATTGAACAATTTGCCAGTCGCTTGCACTCTTTCCTTCATGAAACGTATCAGGCGATTCGAACACAGCATGTCACTAGGAATGTGGCTGTGAAGGTTTGTTTGCGGTCTAATCACTGAATTTTAATATTTCCCAGGGGCGAGGTTCGAGAAAGGCCCACATTGCTTTACATAACCACTACTTTCCAGTGTGTTCTTCCATAAAAAATTGTCTTGAACAAAGAGATAAGTCATAAAGAACTTAGAGTCCCAAAGCTGTGGATGGTATGTATGAATTGTCAGATGCTTCGGGTGGCGGTATTCTCCCCGAATCCCCGCTGCAAGCCGCGGTGGTTCTTCGGCGGCTACTGATTCTTCCACTGGGAGTTTGTATTATGCATTGTCCTTCACAGAGCGCGACAGACGTGAAGCGATGCGGTTTTCGGGGATGAGTCGCCATAACCGAATGCCTCGAACTGCCTTAATTCAGCAAGCTGCTTACCTTTATCCTTTCAGGAGTATCGTTTTTTTCACTTTCGATTCAAAAGTAACCATTGCCAGACTAGTACTTGAAAAGACTCCTCTGAAAGTAGTAAACCAGTCGAAAATTAAAACTTCAAGAAAATATAAATGTGGGCTATAAAGAAGGAAAATCATGCTGTGGCTTCTCAGCGGGCCGACTAAGCAAAATCCTGTCAAGCTAGAATTTCAAAAAATATATCTACTTCTAAAGGATACTTCCGGCGGAGGTGGTGTAGTGGCAAGTGGCGCACTACGTCACACGCATGGTCAGGGGTTGGAATCCCGGATCGATGCCCGCCTAGGCCAACTAAGCCTTTCATCCCTCCGGGGTCGGTGAATTGGTACCTTTGGGAGGATAAAAGCACTGACTTGTACATCGGCTGGCCACCACAAGTCATTGTATAGGGCCACATACGCACTCATTACGCCACTACGATTCTGAATGGTGCGGGGGCATCCCTCAGACGGGATTGATTAACGCCAAAAACTTTATCCTTTTATCCTTATATCTATTTCTGATTCAGGGTCTACACAAAGTGGGCATCTACAACTTCGATTTTTCAAAATTAGCCACACACTCAGCATATCACTTCTTGGAAGACATTGACTCACTGGTGTACCCTGCACCTGGTTCGGACTGTTTCTATTCGGCGTGTATTTATCCTGATTTGCTGTAATGATCATTACAGTGAGTTCGGCGATAGTGGAGGTAGGTTTCTACTGTCGGAAAGCAAAGGAGCTCCCGAACGATTATGAAAAATTCGTCAATGATCCAACATCGAAGGGAACAATTCTCGTGGCTTTTGGATCAAATATCATTTGGGACTATGCACCGCCGGATATTATGGCAGCAATGTTGGGAGCTATCAACCGCTTGAGTGATTACAGGTTTGCCAGTCTAATTCATTCTTTCGTACATTTTGCAAGAGACGGTCTTGAGAAGTGACATTTGGAAAAAATGCTAAAAAATACTCGTGTGATTCAAGAGCAACGGGGTTTTTCTCGCTTACATTACTGCTTTGGATGAGTGATTGCAACTGCAGTAAGGACGTGATAGAGGCTCATGAGGCTAACGACTGTGTAGTAGCAACGATAGGGTGTATGAGCCAGATCATGACTCATCCAACCCTCACTCACTTTTTTTCGTGACGAATGGCTTCCTGCCGTTCTTCCTAACAAAACAAGGATCGGTGATGGCCTGTGCTGCTGACGGACAGCGTTTGTACTCTACGAGCCTTATCCAAATTATACGGGAGTAAATGCCGTGCGTGCGTAATGTTCTGAGCTGTGAGGGGAAGTTTGAAGAGATCACCATGAAAATCTGGGTCTCTCACACCGGTGGACGAAGATAGCTGCAGCTGCTTACAAATTGCAATCTCGCCGTATTTGATTCAGTGAGCAGAATGTGAAATGAACAACAGGAAGAAAATATACGGAATCAGTGGGAAGATACCGCATTCACTGAGGTAGAGATTAGTGAAAAAGGCAATTCGAAATTGATTGCCTCATAAAGATTTGGAGTGATCTCTCTCACACGTGATTCAGAGACTTGGTGTGTCGGCTTGTAAGTTTGTCGGCCTGTCCGTGTTTCGGTGTGTCGGGCCTTATTCCTTACTTTTACCAAGCAGTTAGAGCTTGTATTATAGTTAGGGGGGAGGGGCATTGATTTTATCCAACACTGAGGGCTAGAGTGCAGAGAAGGGGTAGCCGACTTGACCTGTACTTGAAAACGGTTCTAGGCGAAAGAATATGGCTTCAGCTAAGCCTCAGTAGGGGAGGAGGGGTGGGGGTGGGATGATGACCTAGTGCGAAAAGCCAGGATGGGGTACGAGTTGAATATTCAGTTGACTCACCCACCTCGATACCACTTCCATCCTAAAGCTCTGATCAAGAAACTGTATGTTCTCGGCCAAGAAACGTAACTAAGCATAATTATGGGCTAACTTCTCATGTTGAAGTTGTGTTGGAAAAAAAGGAGCTTCCCCAACTATTACATTATCACCACCGATTTTTGCAAAGACATACAGTAGCGCTCAAAAGTCTTCGGTGAAATGGTTCTTCAGCCGTACTTTTCAGTCGTAACTTCTTTCCTACTGGATATAATCAAGCAAAATTTCTATGTTCGGAGCGTGGATGTATTGTGAATATTTACCACTATTAACCTGCAGTCTGATCATGTTCCAGTTATTCCAAAAAGCCTGAAATCAAAATCGACTGAAAATACAGATGATGGTCCTTTTAGAATCTCTTTCCTTTTTATCATGTCAAAAGTGTAAGAGCGGTGATGCCGAACACAATAGATGAGAAAAACGCACATAAGGTGCGAATAAGTGCAGACGTCAACAACTTTACTTTTAGCAAAATCTGCTACCGCAACAAACACCTTACTCTACCTGTGGGTATTACAGCTTTGCAGTGAAATAGGGTTGGGTAGGATGAAATATGCTCTAGTTAGACATATCCAAATTTCGTGTCATTCGGTCTACTAAGAAAAACGTTATGAACGGAAAAGCGTCAAAGCATTTCACCGAAGACTTTTGAGCGCTACTGTACATAGCACAATCCAATCCGTTACAGATCGAAATCATAGTTTTGAATCACCCACTTCACTACACACCACTAACTTCACTCCGCAGTACTCACTCTACTCCATCAACCTACCCACCAGATCACTGTCATATATAAGGAGGAAGTGTAGGGTAGAGCAAGTTTTTCCATATCACTACCTTCATCGTGATCATAAGTTTTGCGGACGAACAGACCGACAAAGCGAGCGACTCGACTGGTTACCTTATAAAAAAAACAGCCATTTGGAAGGATGTTAGGGCACCGATATTATCATGAATGGTAATATCGGTGCCCTAACATCCTTTCAACTTCCTAGCAGATGAATTTAACTCCATGTTCTGCTAGTTCGTTTTGCTTAGGCCATGTTGGGGGCGTTTACATGGAGCTGCTGTAATTCTGAGATCTGAAAATGAACTGAGATCTTGGAGAACTTTGGAATTCGGAAAGTGCCATCACAGTTGTCGTACTCGTTATGGACCTTAACACAGGTTGATCACAGGCCTTCTACGGGCTGAAGAAGAGAATCGAGGTATAACGAACCTTCTCCTGTACATAGTAAAGAAATTCGCTTAGAACGCAATAGACCTTCACATTCTATGCCCATCGTGAAGCCAAATGACTTTTCGAGCGCTGTTTCGAGCCCATCCTGAAATCTCATCCTTTACTTCAGAGTAAGCTTCTCCGCAGCTTAAGTGCTACACCCTTAATGTAGAAACTGAATTTGGGCATACGAACGATGTCTACAAGATTGCAAGTGCAGTACTCACCTACTTACACGTTTACGAGCGGTTGTAGTATGTAAGTTGAAAGTGTCATATGTGACTCTGAACTTCAGTTATTTATAGGGTTGTGTTCTCCTACAATGGCAACATGGAACGCGTGCGATTTCTTGGCAGCCATGTTAAAGTCATTCGTTGGGCTCCACAAAAAGATGTCCTTTCACACAAGAAGACTGTCGTCTTCGTTAGCCATGGAGGATTGAAGAGGTTGGTTAGAACCACAAGCTGCGGAGCTATTGCCGAGCTAATTTTTTCCTGTTGAAAGGCATTAGATGAAGTAGCTTCTCTGCATCAAACGGTCTCGAAATACCTTAGAGAAAGGGGGCAAGTCCGCTCTGTGCCTGGCAGTTTCCTCATAAACGCCCCATTGTCAGGGATGGACATTTTGTATTAATTAACACCAAGGAGACATGGAAGATGCGAAAGCATTTTGGAGACCCACAATTCATTTATCAACCCGGAAAGTAGAAAAAGGAGAAGGAAAAGAGAAGTTAAAGAGCGCTAACAAGATGTGGGTCGATCCAAAGGTGTCTATGCAGTAGTGCCTCTATGAGATATCCTTGCAATAATCACGTTCAGTATTGGGGGCGTGAGTTTCGCTCCGGACTCTTCTGAAGAAGATCTCTAATCAGAATAACCCTGCAAATGGCCTCTCTTTTTGATTCACTTCAGTTTTAATTGACAAGAAGCCTGTTTCCCCTTTTGCGCTTGCCCGATTTCTATTATCGCTAACTACCTGCATGCGTTGAATTCGTTATTCAACACGACTACAAGCACATATAGGAATTTCAGCGTAAAAGACACTATATGCGGAGCTGTACCAGTTGTTTACATACCTCTTTTTGCCGAGCAGTCCCATAATTGTGAGATGGCCCGAGCAGCTGGTTTTGCTGAAGTTCTCCATAAAAGCCGCCTCACAGCAGATGTTATCGAAAGGGCGGTAAGAAAAGTTGCTGGTGAGTTCTCTAATACCTTCTTGCCTGAGGCATTCTGCGTAAAGATCTTTCACCACATGCTTTCACACATTGATACGTCATCAAAACCCCTGTTGTCTAAAACTTCGTTTGAAAAAATCGAAGGTAGCCTCTAAAGGTGCAAAGTTTTTGAATGGGACTATGTATTATTTCAGCAGCGTAACATTTTGCCGCGATCATTTCTTCATAGGTCCGAATTCCACTCGAGATGATCTGAGTTTAACTGAGGAAGTGCTTAACCTTTTCTAGCAAACCGATCACTTGTCCGGAACTCATTCGAGAGCTACCTATAGGCGACGATCAGTAGCAGAGGAGGACACATCTTCTAGATGTGTCCTCCTCTGCTACTGATCGTCGAAGAGTTTCCATGAGATACGTACAAGGAGGACACATCTTCTAGATGTGTCCTCCTTGTACGTATCTCACGGAAACTCTTTCTCTTTATCTGATAACCATCTGTTACGTAAAAGAATTTTGTCATTTCAATGATGGAACCCTGCTGCGTCCTCCACCAAAAGGGTAGCCTTCAAACGAGCTTCGGGCACGACGTCGGTTTCCTGGAGGGGACTGAACGCTTGTTAGATGACGTGCATATCATCACCAATTGTATCTAGGTCCCTGAGGAGGACAAGACATTGAAACGTCAGGCTTGCTGAATTACGGCATGTTGTTACAGTAGAATAGTTATTTCAGATGGTTCGATTTCAGTTCTTCAGCGTTACAGCGGCTCTGCATTTTTTTTTTGAAAGTGCTTAATGATAAACCTTTTCAGTAGAGCAGACTACCTAAGGGGGGAGGGGGATGGCGGTGAGAGGGCTCTTCTATCACCTTTTAGCTGGTACCAGGGGGCTCAACCTCCAACCTAGGAAACTGTTGTTAGTTATGAAGTCTGGTCCCGCTTCTTTTGATTTGCACGGAAAGGAGTTCCAATAATAGATAGCTACAGTGCCACATTACGTAGCTAATTGGTAGAACTAGAATCAGCTCATGGGAAAACTCGAATTTCGCAAAGAGTTGGTCCAAGCGTCAGTGTGTGAATACCTGTGATCTGCCTTCCATAAATATATTTTCAGAGACGCCTCGATACAAAGAATCCGTCATTCGGATTAACACATTCTACCGCGATAGAATAATGCCAAGTCTTGATGTGGCCGAGTTTTACGTGAGACGAGCTCTGAAAACAAGCCCCCGTCTGCCAATTTTCAAACCAAAAGGCATGTACATGTCATTATTTAGCCATATTCATTGTGAAAACCTTCTTATCTCAGCGTTAATATTGTACATACTGAGCCAATAGTATTCAGTTTCTCTGTCTGTATAATATGGTGTAACGGAGGCGTAGCCTGAACGTCGAACAAAGTCTTAGAATTAGATTGAGTCATAAGGAGACAATGCCTTCAGTTCAACTGTTTATTAAGCTTCCCAGTTGACTTTCGAAATCCTATAGGTAAATACCTGGGCAGAAGTGGTTCTTCTCAGGATCAAAGGATTAGATATCATGATCGCAGATATTGTTACGGTATAATATCTCCAAAGAACGACGGTGTTCCGTCATGTCCTTAGGTGCCACCGATAATTGCAGGGACAGAAAAATATCAGTGGGAAAGATGCCTTTGCGAGAGGGTCTCGGTTCAGATTTTGTCCTATTCACGAGTTGAGGCTCTTGGTGCTGCTTTGAGCTCTGAAATCTAGCAGACATTTCAATAGTCAAGATATTCACAGAAATGCTATTCTCCAGTTGTGGAAAAGCAATTTCTATCGTACCAACAAGGAACGGAGACCATGCATTTACAAAAAAATAGGAGATTTAAAAAATATTACTCTGACCATTATAGATTATATTACTCTCAACTAAGCACAAAAACGCTGAACACAATCCATTCCTCTTGCAACTCCTATCGTAGGTGCAACCTTCAAATCGCTGTAACGACTTGGTTTGTGGTTACAATTGGAAATTAACCTCCTTATTCTCGAATAACTATTAGCAACAGGGCACATACCATGCTTGTTCAGAGGTTGCGCCCATTAGGGTATTGACGAAGCGAGGCTGTCAGACTTAGTCACGAAAGCGCTGGGCGAAGAAAGTGATATACCTCGTGTCTTGAGCTAGATTAATGCACCAAATGGAAACCCTGGCTTGGTTTTGATTATTGCATCTTAACTCTCTACTTTAAACAGTGCAATCATAAATTCTCTAACTCAGTGGAACAATGAAAGTCTTCCTGAGAAGGCTATACGAAAACAAGTACATCTTGCAATATTGTGACACTGCTTTACATTTTGGATTTCTCTCCTACTACATTAATGAAATGCAAATAGTCAAATTAAAAAAATGGTGTTTATTGTTTATTATTCGAAAACCAGTCCACATGTAATTACAAATGACAAGGCCAATCATTTTTCTTTGGAGGAGAGGTCACAGCCTCAAAAGTTGTTCTGGCAAGCGACTTGATTTCTTGGAATATTGCGGAGCGGAGGCAGTTGGTTGTTGCTTTTGCTCAGCTCTGCTCGAGTTGAGTCTGGGTTCTGCAAGAAAATCTATAGTAGCAATTCCTTGTCTTGGGTAATCTTTCAAGAAAGCAGTTCCTATTCTGTAGACAAAAATTGACAAATTCACATCAAAAGCTTCATTGCTGGTGCTATCGAAGAGAAAAGTCATAGGAAGTAAGCCAGTAAAAAGGGCCCCATGGTTATCCACGAACGGAATTTCAGTGGCTGCAGAACAAATTGTGTTAGGTATTAACGGGTGGCGGCTGATTCTATTAACAACAAAATGAGGTCAGCTCATCTGAGCAATCACGCAATTCCTCTCTTGAAGGTATTGCCCGGAAAGGAGTATCGGTTCAGTGCCCTGATTGCTTTCAATTCTACCGCGAACTGTGCTTTAAAAATGCCGTAAGAATGCCATAGCAAGAGTAAAACTCATAGGAAGTTATTTTGATCAATAAGAAAGCGAAATCAGATAGTTACCGATCTGTTGATTGACGACTGTGGTCCCGTTCTTGGATTAATAGTATCGGCTCCGAACTGAGACTGCCCTGCTCGAGTTGGATGTTTGCCAATACTCATTTCACTGACTCGATACTTCAGGAATGGAATTCTTCCGAATACACTTTTTAACAGAATCCCTCGAATTTCTCGGTAGCGGAGGACGTAGATCAGGAAATTAATAGTTGTCTGAAATGGACAATATTAGGACATAATGAGAGCCGCTTCCTTCGCAATCAATTGATTAACAGAGTCCTATAATTTTTGAATGTCTGAACTACTTCGTTCCGACCGTTGTGTCACTAAATGAGTAATGCTTGGAACTCCAGTTCAAGCTTTCAGGATTTTTTTTTGATGCTTGGACAAACTCTTCTTGAAGAGTCTACTGCAACAACGAGTCCGTTAGATGTAAGGAATCAGGATCTCAATAATCTCTACTACAGCAATCTATGATGAACATTCATCAAAGGTGCAGTGCTGTTGGATAATCGGCTAGAATGCCTTGAAAGATGATCGTCGATTCAGTAACACTGCACCTAACTCTGCCTAACCTTCTCTCTGTTTGATGGTCAATAGAAACTTGGCTAACCGTTTCAGAAATCTCTTATTGGCGTTGTTATGAGTATACAAATGGGAATACGATTTCTTAAACTCCTCGAGAATCGGTTTCACCCAAAACTTTCCTTCTCACTTCAAACAGAGGATTGTGAGGGAATAGGACGTAAATGGTACATTGGCGAACTAGATAAACAACAAAGACAAGGAAGAGAAAAACAAAAAGTGGAAAATTAATTGAACTGTTCTCACCTTGCTGAGGGTCATAGAATAAAGAATAGTAGAATACTTTTGATTGATGTTGAACGGATTGACGAGTAGGAGGATGTCAGGGACGAAAAGCAGTAGAATCGAATTGGTTGTTACCATCCCTTCAAATCATTTGTGAACGATTAAATTATTTGTGAGCGATTCTCTATTGTAGTCTGCTTACGATACAATAAGTCACAATTCTCACCGAGAGTAATCTTTGCATTTCGATGACTTTTCTTTTGATACGCAGAAAGGCTTTGGAGTGATCGACCGTGGCTCTAAAAGATTGTCGATATCGTCCGTTTTCCTTAGTGTTTAATGGGGTCATCTTACCTTGCTAAGGTAGATAACTATGGCTAAGTACACACAGGCACTGCCAATATTCGCGACAAGCCGTATTCCAAGCATAACTCCATATGTGGCCGGATGAGCAGCTCCATTAGACGCTATACAAAGCGAAGATGTCGGTGATTGATCACCCCAAATTAGTGCGTAGTTAATCAGCAACAGTAGGGCCGTCACAAGATAGGGCACTGAATAACATCAAAAATCAGGATTTTTTTTCATTTGCAGGAAAGTTTAGAGTGGAAGAAATTCCTCTGTTAAGTGAACTTCCCAGGGATAGAACCCCTTTTTCTATACACCCATGTCCTTCCACTCGCACTGCACAAAAATACTTTGGCGATGCTAAAAATCGGCTGTGCGAATCTGTGCCCGATCGGCGTGCCGTAGGAAGGCAATTGGAAGCATGTTGTTTGAATCAAATTTAGATGACGTGGTATGGTTTCAGTGGGAGATTACGGTCTTTGCAGTTTGAAGCCCCGCAAGACAATCATCGAGGGTGAGCGTATGTGCGCAACTTTGGCAATTATCGCCACACCAATCCCGTCACCATTGGAAATTTTTATCAAGTAGGCGTGAAGCACTGAAACTTCTCACTCGGTCCAGGGCTGTCTTAGGCTATACTCCTATTCCGCAGACTTTATCATCATTTAATAAAACCGCTGTCTTTCTATATTCTAACGTAATGCTACTGTTATACCATGGGTGTTAACCAAAGAAGCGAACGCTCAACGTCCGTCCACGGGCATTGGGGCAGAGTTGGTAAGGACTTAACTACGCTGGGGTTGCCCATACCATTGCCCCTACGAATGTAGCTAATTCAACCCAAACCTCTGATCTAATGTGCTTTTGCTGAAATGATCACTGATTCATGAACCTTTGAAGCGTCGTTCTACTCAAAAAACGCATAAATTACCTAACGGTTCTCAGTACAAGTCTCCCGGCTAATACTTAGCGGTCACATGCGATTTTTCTCATTTACTCACTTTCTAGTTGTCCATTTGTCCAGCACTACTTATATGCACCTAGATCGAGTGAATGAAAATCGAGTGAATGAAAATCGAGTGAATGAAAATTCTTCCATCGAGTGAATGAAAAATTCCAGCTGACTAAAATGTGGGCGGTTCTGCAGCGAGTTTTTTTTTNTTTTTTTTTCGAGTGCATCTATGTATTCGACTTGCACTTATTTATTACGGCTACGACTGTACGCCTGATTATGACAACGATTTGTCAAATCATCTGGTAAATGAATCATTGTTTTATCCGGTCAGATACGGTCGGTACTAGATGACCAATCAAGAAGGTGGGGACATGGTGGCTTACTGTGGGTATCGGTTCGGGATTTGACCATCTGGCACTAGTCGTGGTAGAGAGCCTTTTGACACTACCCCTGCTTATTTGGGTTTACAATAAAATCGAGTTAAGTTTGCCTGCCAACATCACGCGACTCATCGTACCGGCTATGAGTGAAGCAGTGTAGTTGTGTCTTGCTGTCATGTACCATAACGGGATCACCGAAGAGATAAGAAAATTAATTGACATCGCCATTGGCAGCAAGCCAAGAAGTGGTGTCGCAATGTCGTGTAGAAAAAGTGCTGGATGCAATGCACATTCCCATCTAGGAAAAGTGCCATTTACTGAAAACAAAAAACAGATTTGAGTTGCTCATTTTTTTTCTCTGTTGTGTCAATTGAAGTAAATAGGGCAAAAACAACCGGAGAAGGTCAAGATTAGTAGATTTCACAGTTTTGACTATAAAAATAGTTATCACTGATTTGCTCAGATGAAAGAATCTAAATTTCTCAACGAAGATTTTTCAAGATATAGTCAGGACATGGTCTCATGAATTTGCACTTTTATTTCCCACCTACGGGTTTTTGGAGCATGCAGACGCTCATTTTCTCAACCTGTCGGAAGACTTTATAATAGGTAATGAAAGCGACGATCAATATCATCCTGTACTACTCAATGTTGTGGTGAGTGAGCTTTATCGTCAGCTGGCTACCTGGTTCACACTAAGTCCTCCTCCTACTCTAGAACACAAAAACGAGCTGTTAAAATGAGAATGACGTTGAATTTTCTGGTAGTACGGTTGAGTCAATCATAAGATTAGCAGGGAATTTAGTTTTTTTTCTTTTTTTTCCATATATAGGTGCCCGTCAACTGATTGATTCATGTACTAAACGACTGAGCTTCGTTTAAGCTTAATTACATGCATTCATAATTCAAGACAGCGAATATTTTCTAATCTATAGAAATAGAATTTGAAATTCATGAATTCGTTCAGTTCAATCCTCATTGAAGCTCAAAAAATCCGCGTGATCTCTTTGTACTTACGCATTGCTGTAGCCTCGAGATGTAGACGATGAACAGCAATAAGCATGAAAGCTATGGCATACATGGTGTCTGCTACACCTTGAGAGACTATGAGCAGAAATTCCCTGCGTTTTCGATTAGACCGTGAACCAATAATGCATAACGTGAGTAATCCATTAGATGTGCAAACGATTACTCCTGAAAAACTATCTAATCTTCAGAAATCTCATTACAAGCATCGGCGAAGGGTCGAAGAACAGGTGAAAATGAAACTTCCGGGTGACTTGGGACTCGGTTAAACCTCAATCAAGGTAGACTCCAAAAGTTCCTTGCCCTTTGATTTGTTTTAGTGACCGCTCATTAACGCCGCAGTCTAATTGTCCAGTCAAAAATGGTGTTACAGTGGCGCTGAGTTATGGGCAAAACGTTCAGTTACGGGCCTAAATCCTCACCTTGCAACCCACACCGTTCTGCTAGCAGCCTGTACGGAGACAGTGTAGTGGCACATAAGGCGCTTTCTCCCCATGGTAGTTGTTTTGAATCGGACTTGTCTAGGAGGATAAAAGCGCTAAATCTAACATAAACTGGCCATCGATAGTGATTATATTGGCCCACATACGCATTCAATCTTCACATGAGTCTGAATGAAAGTCAACAATGGAGTGCATTCCGGGAATGGGATTTTATCAGCATCATGAGCCTGTCATTTATCCTTGCATTACAGCTCCTGAACGCTACTTATTTATCTCATTTATCTCATAAGCAAGCGATAAAAGCAGGATTCCGGAACCGCACAAGTCCAGGTTCGTCTCCGGTCCCAGACCCTTACCCACTGAACGAGTTGTCCATAACTCAGCACCTTTGGAATGATTACTTGATGCGATTAGTTTTCTTTATTTGATAAACAATACGATTCTGCGAGTTTTTCGAAGAAATTGCAACAATTGTATACAACAAACCTTCAGCTAAATACAAATACATATTCATAGCAAATGCCGTCATTATCGATGCGGTGGTTGAATTGAACACGCTGAAAACAGTAAATGTATGTCTCATGTAATTAGCAGATCAGAAAATTTCAGAGAAGCACATACATTTGAAATAATGAGTTTACAAAACATCATCAAAAGAAAAAACAGCAGAAACTCGATACATTCCTCTTCTCCTCTCCTTGATTTGTTACTCAAAATGTCGCAGTGCCGCAGAATGCTTTACTTGTTTATACTTAGCGAGCCCCAGACATAAACCATTCGTTTCTGTCCTTCTCCATCGTCAACCACGGTTGGCTCAGGAACAGGACGAATTCCATAGTCCCGTGAATGTGTTACACAGTAGCCTGAAGCGCCTACAAATACCTGTCACATATAAAACGCAACAAAGAGGTACCCTGGGTGAAGCACAAAGGGTTGAGTGGTGGTGCCAATGGCTCAGAATGCTACCGTGCCGTTACCCTTGAATACTTCAAAGACGGTAATGCAGTGCACTCGATTGGGAAATGGTAGCGCTACATCCAGAGGTTCTGGTGCAGGGTAGGCTTGAAGGTCGGAATTGGAAAGAGGAACAGAAGGAGGCTTCGATAAAAGAATAGAGACTCATAAGGTGGAGAGGAAAGCACATATATATGATGGTCTGGAAGTGTTTGTGGGAAATCCTGAGAGTGAATATGAAAAGTGATGACCCAGGCAATCGACCTTTTAATGGATTGGCTAGAGAAATACTCTGGATGCGGTCAAGCGGCATGAAATAATGTGGTGTATGAGGGTGATNGGGGTTGCTTCTATTCTCGGCATTACGTGCTGTTGTCATCACTGTTGTCCTCCTCCTCAGCAATCACGTTGATGACAGGCCACGAATAGTTCACATATTATTACTGCCTGATTCTCAATAATGATTACGCGACGTGAAATTCACGACGAGCTCATGTCTACAGAAACACGGCAACTGCCTTTAGGTGACCCAAATCTCGAAAATGAACTGTGGGGAGAAGTGAGTAAGGAAGATAGAGACTTCACTGCCTATATCAACACTCTGTACATGATTCAGCTATGGCATTAAAAGCATTTAAAAGGCGAGAAAAAGCGGAACCTTGGTAGTACGAGGACAAAGGCACGGTGCCCGGAGAGCACAAGTACCGGTTCAAGTCCCGTTCGAAGCCGAACTTTTGTTCGTAATTTTTCAACCTCGTGAGACTTCACTATCTGTTACCAAAACTACTGTGAAGGTCAAGTCGAGTCCCTTCAAAGCAAACATCTCTTCTTCTTCGCTCTATCGTAGCGTAACTACAGTGTAAGTGGTGGGCCCACCGGTAGGGGTAGATGCTATATGAATCCAGATAAGAACCGCGAGGGACCCTGCAGATTTACGATTAATTCAGAATCTCGAAAAATTACAATCTGCAGGGGCGAGAGACTGCGCTATGCCTTGGCCTGGATGCCACGAGCAGGTATCGGTCCAAGGGACGGTGGTCCAATACTTTTCTCAAATGAGTCATTTTTCAGTTCATATAGATGGGAACGGAAATGAGCCCGAAGATGAGAGCGGAAGTTTGTATATCATCAATTGTAAGGCGAGGCAAATAATAACAGAGTGAGAGGAAACAAGACATTCATAGCGGCAGTGCAGTCGGTAACAGTGATTGTGAGAGCGTTAACTGGAATGGCAAAGGAAAAAACTTTGTCATAAATTAGTAGGCATTCATATTGCTATTACTGGTAGATGAAAAACAATCAGAATCCCACGTACGGNCTTATTGCAGAGGATGACGGTGAAGGTTAAAATTTTTTTGGCGTCATTCAATCCTGTCTTAGGGATGTGCCCCCGCATTCGACTTCCATTCAAAATCGTGGCAGCGTGATGAATGCGTATGTGACCTAAAAATGACTTGCGGTGGCCGGTCGATATATGTACAAGTAGGTGTTTTCATCCACGCAGATGAGTCTGGAACCAATTCATCCACCCCAAAGAGATAGGAGGCTTGGTTGGCCTGAACGGAGTGGGATTCGAACCCGTGACCGTGCCACCTGTAGTAGTACGCTGCTTGCCAGTACACCACCCTCCGCTTCTACCTCATTTCGATGCTATTGTGATAAAGGGTAAAAACGTCGAATGAACAGTAAGGATTCAAGAATACAATTTGATTATTCAAAACGATCCTTACTGATTGTGAGATACATAGTATGAAAGTTATTTTTGGGCCTGTTATCTAATGTATAGTTTCTAGTTCCAATGCATAGTTCTATACAGATTTAAATTTTCGAATTATTTGGCAAAGTGCATTGAAAGCCGTTCCAAACCAGAAATTCAACTAGTTAACGAGTACTGATCAGTTGACCGACAAAATCGAAGGATGAAAGGCTTCAAGATTGAAGCGAGTTTCAATTCTACCGACGTCTTTTTTTCAAATGTAAAAATTCACTAATAAGAGTCTTTCGTTCGAGCGGTCGATTTTGGTAGGACTACAGTCGGCAAGATGGGAACACTTATGGTGGGTGGCAACACCGGACTACGCCCAGGGAGTTTGTGCGAAATGAGTGTTCGGGCGGAAAATCATAACTTTCGCTCCACCTAAAATGGGTGGGGTTTAAGCAAAAATTCATAACTACTGTTCCTGCGCAACTAGACCGTTCAAGTTTGGTAGGAGCACAGGTGGCAGGATTCCTCATAATGGGCTTGCACCACCATCACTTCAAAGACTATATATCACATGCATTGACTGAACCGCCAGCATTAGGAAAGGGACAGAATAGGCTATCGCAATTTAGAGCAGACACATGAGCTATAAAGTGCTCAACGATATGCTTACTAAGTGAGCGCCGGGTCTGCGGAACCCCTAAGTTTGATGTTCAGGTGACTTTCGATGGACCATTTCAGCTTGCAAATTACCTTAGAATGTATCAAAGTCCAAATGTCAATCCATATGATGACCTGGCAAAAGGTGCCAGCACTCTGGGCACTTCTGGGCACTTTAGGCATTTCCAAACGTGAAAGATTGTTAGCCATTAACTCCTTTTTAATTTGTACGCATTGGAAAATCCGAGCATCTGCCTCACAGTTCAAGAAAGTTGATTTTAGAAGCATACTGCTCCATGGATTCGAGGACTGACCGGTCTTTTCCTCCCCCAATCTCAACTATTACTATTTGGTCTCTGAGGAAACATGGCTCAGTTGACTACGATGATCCGAAAGATCATGATGCTGATGCATTCTAAATCCATCTAGACATTCTACCATAGCCTGCGACATCAAAAAAGAAATTTAAAAAAAATACGAGCTTGTAAGCCACATAAATTTTAAATTTTAAAATTTAGCGTAATTTTCTACACAATTCAATCGAAAAAGTAGCTGAAAATACAAATAGAGCCTAAGTACAAATCAAGCTGGCGCCGACTTTTAGATGTAGACAAAGACCTTGTGAAAGTAATGATTAAGCTTATTGTCAGACAAAGTTTGTAGTTAATCTGCTATGAGGGTGTCTATATGATTGGTACTAGTCTCGTGCTCATTTCCTATTCCTGGCCATAATTTCCTGCATCGATCATGGAACAGTCCTATTCCAGGAGTGAGTACCGACTTCCCATATTTGAGCAGGGAATGACAGAGATCTCTATGTTCTATAGAAGAAGCGAGAGTTCACAATTGTTTCCTTTCCACCAATTTGCTTCCATGAACAGAGTTTTGCTGCTCATCACTGTTTGAATCAGGCCGGAATCAGAGCTTTGCAAAATCTCCAGTTTGTTTAACCTCAGTGCATTTATCGCAAATTGTTTTGATTGTGCATTCTGCGCTCCACCGTACTGACGTAGTTGGGCGCCCAATTCGAAGACAAACGAAATGGTAGTTGTTGGATGCTTATAGACTGGTGAAATGAGCCGTCGAAGAATCATGTTTTGTGAGTTGTTCAGCTGGTTCAAACATCTGAAGTTGTACCCAAACCTAAAGCCCCATATAAGTGACGAGCCACCCAGAAGTAAGAAATGTAGCTTGGCCGTGATTTCTCGCTGTCTCCCGCAACAGCTGATTAGGGATTCAGATTAATTTCAACCCTTGACTCCTGGAAGGCCAAGGATTCTCTACTGCCTAAGAACAATTACGACATTGCCAAAACAAAGGCCATAAAAGCCTCACAATTCAATGTCGATGAGGGCTGACTGGTTCATCACGATCTACATGGGAACGCTGGAAATCATGGCACTCAGATAACTTGAAGTTTTCGATTCGTGTAGGAATATGTGGTCAATCGCAAAAAAACTAGTTTCTGAAGATTTTCCCGAGCACATAGGGCCCCTTTGATGTTGTAAGATTCTAAAGGCTTGAAACCAATTTTCTAACCATCATAATCATATAATAATTATTTTTACTATACATAACTTAATTATTATCGGATATGGAATAAAAGAGTTTGTAACATTGTATAATAAATACACAATTAAAAGTCGAAAGCGATCAGAAAAATCCTGTTTGGCAGTCCAATCCACCAGGGCTCCTCATTAGAGAAGCAAAAGTGGAAGCTCTAGGGGAAAGGGTTCATTTGAGTGGTTGATTTTCTCGCGACAGTCGGTGGTAAGTGTAGGTGCCGTTCTAAACACAACAACTGTTCATGTCTTCTTATGAAGAGCGACGTAGAACGAATACTATGTGCATAGTAAATTAGAGGAGATTTGTGGTAAACAACAATAATTATACAGTATACACACTAGAATTAGGCGAGCATCTGAAAACTTACGAAGAAATTGCTAAGCTACAACGTTCTTGAGCGCTTGGGCGTTCCAGTGGGAATGTAGCATTACTTACTAAAGATACAAGTCAATTCAGTCAACACGGCTACACGTGCTCTTAGCCTTTTAGGAATACGCATCCCGAAGAGGATTTATGGAGCAGTTTGAAGCCGTCTTGGTAATGGATGAAGCAGAAATGAGATTTTGTTTCATGCTGCCAGAAGAAGTGATCCACTTCCATTAGAGCTCCAGTTCATTCCATACTAAAGATAGAAAGCCTGGCTGAGTCGTGTAATCATTTTAAAGTCTCAAATCTATGTATACCATCGTGTATCCACCCAGTCCAATTGCGTCATCAACATGCCAGATCCAGAAATTTAGGGATGATGATTTATGGAGCAGTTTGAAGCCGTCTTGGTAATGGATGAAGCAGAAATGAGATTTTGTTTCATGCTGCCAGAAGAAGTGATCCACTTCCATTAGAGCTCCAGTTCATTCCATACTAAAGATAGAAAGCTTGGCTGAGTCGTGTAATCATTTTAAAGTCTCAAATCTATGTATACCATCGCGTATCCACCCAGTCCAATTGCGTCATCAACATGCCAGATCCAGAAATTTAGGGATGATGAGTGGTACTGAAGTGATACTAAATGGGTGGGTAGTGGTTTTAGAGAAACTCCTCTCCAAAACGAATGCAACATTCCTGCCTTATTGGATCGTGCGATTTTCACTCTTAGGAGTAGATAGCATAACACTTCTGATGATCCACAAAGTTCTTCCGTTTTTGGAACAAGCGCACAATTTTCTTCGACGTTTACACACGATTATAAGTAAAGGATGATAGGAAAGAAACACAATTAGGATAGAGTAGCGTTATACATAATTGTGTATGATGTGGAGGAAAAGTATCAGGGACCGTCTCAAGTTAAGAAAAGAAAGAGCATAGGTCTGTGATGGGAGGGGATGAAGGCGAGTTTAGGAGTTTACTGTAACTACTCCTGAGGGGCAATGGATGAAGTAAAAAGTAAAAAAATTCAAAATTTGACTTGAAAGATCGTGTTCCATTCCTAGAGCTGTAAACCGTGGCACTGGTCAGGTAAGCATTTTTGGTCATTGACCGTGCGGGAGGTCCTTATTCCCTAAAGACGTAGTCTTCCAATTTTTCTTAACCTCTGGCACTACTGACCCGATTGCTCGAACATACCTATTTTCTGATGTATTCCCCAGATCTGAGCGCTATCTCAGAGAAGCTTCTAACCCATGACTTGTGGCAGACTTCTACTTAATCTCGCATAAAGTCTAGGTCTGAGGATTTTTGTGGACTTAGTAAAAGTCATACACTTCATTCGGAGTATGAAGTAGTGTTAACCAGTATCCCAGCTTTTAATGTCATAGATCGGAAAGGCGGAGTGCTGCGTCATTCCTCATCAAGCTGCAGTGCCATTTTTCTAGTTTATAACGCTATTAGTAATGGACTTTATCTAGCGTTAATCATTTCTACGCCGTCACAAATCCCACCTGCACGTTTCGTCTCCTTTGAGTAAACACGACCTCAGATCGGAAGGGACAGGTGCTCTAACTAAGATCCGCGTTCTATTTCTGCACAAAATAACTCAGAGAACATCTTATCGGTGGATTACTGGGAGGGTTATTGTTTTTGCAAATATTTTGTGAAAGTCAAAGGCACAGCTTTCGTTTGAGACAAATAAGTGATATTCCAGAACAATGCAAAGCAAACGAAAATTGGCTCACTCAAAGAAATTCTAGGCCGAAAGAAGTAGTGAAATCAGAGTCAAACGAGAAAGTGACGACAAAAGGTGCACGGAAGGGTTATTCAGACGAACTGGCCAAATGTGTATGCCATTGCTTCCAACTAGCTACAGTAAGCTGCCTGCGTGCAACGTGTGGATCCCGACGCGAACGATGCAGCCTCTACAGCCTTTACGACGCTTCGCCCCCCTCGGCTGTGTACGTCGGTTGTGAGCTTAAGCGGGAGCAGAAGTCGACCAATTCCTGAGATTCCGAAAGAAGGCCAGAAATGGTTGGGTAGTTCAAAACCTTCAAAAGAAGGCCAGAAATGGTTGGGTAGTTCAAAACCTTCAAAGAAGCATGTAATCCCGTTTCCGAGCAGCTCTTATTCAACTCTTTCTTTTTGACATTATGTTAAGAGAAAGAAGCACGGTAAAATCTACCTTTCAGCAATGATCTCATGCTCAGACTACGATAAGACATGGAGTGGAAGGCATGCATGGAAACCAAAGTTCAGCCAACCATAAGCTTCTGTAAAATCGAAGGCGACACGCCAAAATTTACAGGAACATTCAGAGCGTCCGAAGACGATGACGCTGCTCGGAAACTGTAGTGCTCATGAGAGAAGAAGAAACCGGAGACTGGAGATCAATCAAGTCGAAGTATAGTTGTGGATCACGCCGAAGTACCACTGATCAGATTGAGCGAAAGTTTGATAGCAAGTAGGAACAACCATTATTGTTCATTGTCCATTATCAGGCCATGGAATTTATGCTGTGGAGGACTTGCTCTACTTCGGCTATCATTTGACAGCTCTATGGTAAAATATTCAGAGATAGTCGAAAGGTTCATCAGGGAAGACATTCATCAATCGCTTGAATGTAGATCTCCTGCAAATGTTGCTTTATAATTCCGTAGCTGACCTTCCAATAGCCCAACCCAATGTGCTATATGATCAAACTGGCTAACCATCTAGAAGTATGCCACGCTCGCACTTACATGCACTTAACAAAGCGTTTCTACAGTTAGAAGATGTGCTGGATAGTAGGCAAATAAGTTTCGCAATCATGTAGGAGAACAGATCGTCTTACTGCAAGCCGAGGGACATCGGCAGCGGCTTCAAAGCCACTTTTTGCGGCAGCCTCAAGACCAACGGTGGCGGAACTACCGTCTGCGAACATTTCCGTACCTCCAGTGTGGACGTCGGACGCTTCAGCGACCGAATGATGACGATTACAGTTGTTCCGGACCACCTAACATAAGTCTTATTATCTGCTTTGCTCCATAAACTGGTTACTCTGAGCAGATGAAGGAAGAAGTAGCACCTTATTCGACGAGATGCCAGCTGAAGTGCAACTACAAGAGACTGTTGTCGCCGCAAGTTATTTGGACGAGCACGTTGCACCACAAAAGGTGGTCACAGTTGTCATGGTGGGTGTGGAAATGGGACACGCAGCAATAATGATGGGGTATTCTTCAATACCTTTACTACATGACCTTACCATCGTGAGAACAATGTTTTAGGAACAAGACTCTTACCTCATCTTCTTCCTTAGAGGCACAATGGAAACACTAGTAGACTGTTCCCGTCAGCCGCCACGATTATGGGGTTGTGTCATATGTGAAAGCTGCGTCGTATGAGTCGGACGCTAGAAAACATCGACAACTGCACGCTGCCCGCTTGAAACGGAACCACAGAAACGAGATGAAGAGTCAAGTAGTGGCGATAAAAGCAAAGAGGACTGCTGCGACTACTCAAACTTAGCTTCTGCCTTCACGACTGTCGAGGGATTCAGAAAAGCAATATCTTTAATTGTTCACTCCGAGCTGGGTGAGACTAGGCCTGGAAAGTGAAAAATTGATTGAAAGGTCTAGCTGAGGAGCAGAGGAGGTGCACGAGATGAAGAGACTCAATCAAGTATTTCTTCTTGATGGGAACACTGATAACTGACTGAAGTATCGGGAAGCAAAGAATGCCGTGGCTGGAGTAAGAGCTGCTCACTATGTTGACGCCACGGAAAGATTTGAAAAGAGGATCCCGAATGATGTATAGATGACTAAAATGAACACCTCCTAAAGATCGCTGGAAAGCAGGAATTGCTCGTAGGAGTACTTCTTGGGTGTTTCAACAGTAGGGTTTGCCCATCAGCTTCTATCTAGCACTCTACTAGCACGTGTCTCGCGCAGAAGATACTCAGGAAAAAACGGCAATAGCTCTGAAGGAAATGACGTTTGACAAGGCAACTGGCCCACGTGACTTGAAATCCTATTTGTGGAATTTGCGGTGCTTGAATCTGGCAGCATGACTGACGAAATTCTTCGATCAGGTAGAAAAAAAGGTGCCCGAGAGTTGGCAACAGAGTAACATCATTGTGATATTGAAGAACATCACGAATGATGATGAGCCCTGCAAACTGCATGAGCTATTGCCCGATTCGCCTGCACTCGACTAGTAAAAGAGACTCGAACCGAATGAGCGCGCGTACAGTCCTCCACCTACCAATGCGATTTTGCCCATGGTTGCAGCACCGACCGCGCAATACTGGCAAATCATCGCTTGCTACAGAAGCGAGAAATGGAAAACAGCGCCTATACATCCGTTCCTACGTCTCTTCTGTATGAAATGCTTTTTGACAACGGAGAAGAGCGTGGGATGTTAATGAGGTTTATTGTCTCAGATTATGGTATGGCATCATTGGTAGATACATATACAAATCAACATTACCATGTTTTGCAAACGTGGTACAACAAATGTGATACATGTCATTTGATGCCGAAAATTGCTTGGTGATGTCTAGGTCNNTAGCAATGAATCTGAACATATGTATATAAAAAACCAACTCAGTAAGACTTCGAGGATGTGTAGATTTATGACGTTGCGATGGTTAGAACGTACATATTTGTGAAAATCCAGTTTGAACGGTCGTAGTACGGATATAGGCCAAAGATACTTCGTGCGACCACCTCCGTCTTCCTAGTTGCATTGCCAGGGCACTATCGAACCCTTGCTCCACGGTCGTGGAGCCTGCTAATCCCCTGAAACCGTGGGTAGTGTAGTTCTTATCACTGCTGTAATCGCTTGGAAGTAATTATTGTTGTAATAGTAGACTGGCTGAGAGGTAGGTTCGACTAGGATAGAAAAAACGTTAAAATCAAACCTTTGTAGCATATGCCAATTTGTTTATGCATGACTGTGTGTTCTTCTGAATCGTCCTTGTTTTTGAAAAAAACCGTGGCCCACCTCCTTGCGTGGACCGTTTTTGATTTTATAATGAACATCAAATGTGTATTGTTGTCCAACGAAAGATGAACTTATCTGAGGATTCTAGCCTCGCTAAATCTAAGGAAGCCTCTGAAGAGCCGCACAATACGCTAGGACGACTGAAGAAAAGGCCCTGGGATTTGAGGATAAAGCACCTAACTTTACTGAAGCACCGAAATCTGCCCTATTAATTTTGGTCCGGTGGCTGAGTGACACTCTTCCCCTAACTGCACTCTACAGCAAAGTTTTTTCTAACTCTTTATCCATTTTTTTTTTGCTCGCCAAAAAGTCAGTGCTAACGGCACCATTTGTAAAGAGTTAGTAAGAGAAGTTACATATTAAGATTACAGGTTACAGAGACAAAAATTATCAAAACTTACGTAGTGGTTCGTTTCGCCTATTACATTCATACGAAACACTTCGTTTTTTGTCAACCCCGAGGCTCATCGGTGGATGAAGGTTGGCAAAACACAACGAATGTAGCGTCAAATATTAGTAAACAATAATAAACATAAATGCCATGAGTAAGCGTATGAACAAAAAAGTAAAATCAGTGAAAGTAGGAGAATTACAAGAACTAACTACTTAAAAAAAACTTATGTATGATACACAGTAAAAAATTACTCAGTATTAGAGCGCGCCACCATCCAAGTTGACAAGAATTATATGCAGAGGGAGAGGAATACTTAAACAAACAAACATATCTATGATGATATCAGTAGAGCAACTGACCGGAAAATGTAAATAAAATGTTCTCAAATTTAAAACATTATTGTACAGAAGATATAGTATTCTGTTTTAAAATGCTGAGAGGTGAACTCAAGCTACGGCCGAGTAAGTACTGGGTAATCAGACCGTGCAGANNNAATACCGATGCGTTCAAAAAGAAATTGAGGAAGCTAGACCTTCTTTTTGTTAGGCATACAAGATTTCTAGACGTGTATAGCCTAAAGAAAATCCACTTATGATATCTTTCTTTCTTGATGTACGTTTTTATGACTTTTTCTGCTTTTTCAATTTGTAACTGGTTTCTTTTTATTGCTTGCTTCTGAAGCGCACCTTAGTGTGTATTTTAAATAAATAAATAAATAAAGCCATACCATAGTAGAGATAATACAGTGGGATGGAGAAACCGAAGTCCAATGTAATAGGCTCGTAATCTGGTGGTAGAGGAGAGAAACGATAAACATCATAATCAATCTTAGTGGTAGGATGTATCCTACTATGTAAGAATAATTACAACCAATAATCTGATTTTTACGAGTTTATCACTAACATTTTATTTATAGCGTATAGATTTGTTGTGACAGATACTTTCAATAACACAAGCCTTAATAAATCCCTCAGAGTGCCCATTATTCAGTAGGGCTCTTTCCATTTCAATAAGCTTAGTAATAAAACTTTCAGACTTAGTACAAGTACGAGATATACGTAATGTCTCGGTGTATATGACTGAGATCTTATTGGAAAGGGATATATTAGTGCAATGGTGTAGGAACCTAATAACGTTAAGATTGAAATCATCTGACTTATTATAGAGTGTAATTACAATCCTATCATCTTGAATGTCGACTGACAAGTCTAAGTAGTTACTTTTGTGTTCTGATAAATGTGCCTTTTTGAACTCTATGGCTCCTTGATAGGTTTGGTGCAAATAATTTCATATAGGTTGATTGCCTGAATTATGTATTACCAAAGAGTCATCCATATATCTATGTGGGATGAACACCTTACTACTGCCATACTTATTTTTAATGGCAAAATTAATTCCATACTAGAAAGTGTAATGTCAGCTGAAAGAGGGCTGGTACCGCCCCCTCAAGGAACTCCTCCGAGCTGTTTGAAAATGGAATTTCCGAAAACGCAAAAAATTTACTCAGCACATATTCAATCAAATAAATGATGTCAAGTATACTGTAATATCTAAAATTTTCTTCGTATCTTTTAACAACTGTATAGGAAACCCGATATCCTTTGATAGTAACCAGACCTTTACCTGCATTTTTAAAGCAGAATTTGATATATATATATGTAATGTTCTTAATAATAAGGCCATGTTCTAGATTAGTAGACATATCAGTGAAATCTGCAGTAAATTTTTTACATTTTTATGATGAATGTTACTAAGTTCTTTAGTAATGTTCATACTACCGACAGACCAATGGTTTATGGTTTATGAAATGTTTCAAAATCTTACTGCAGCCATGAACCACACGGACATACTTGGTAAAATGTGCTCTAATATAAGTTAGTATAGTAATAACCCCTAATGCTACTGATTTAATACTAATATTTCAAGCTGCTGTAATGAATCCTAAATTAACTGATATTTGTGCAATTTAGGAATGGCTTATATCAAAGGTAAACCAGCTTCCTAATCACATTTAATGTTATTGTTACGGCAAATTGGTTGATGATTTGAAGTAACTGAGTGTTTGTCTCATAGACGAGATATTTCGTATGTGTTATAAGTACTACTATAGATGTAACGGCCACTAGAATAGTCGTATCTTATGCCCATTTCATATGTCAAGTTGACTAGGTGAAATTTT